TCTGTCTAAGCAAAGGTTTGGGTGCGCCAGTTGGCTCGATTCTTGCTGGATCTGAAGAGTTCATTTATCATGCAACGCGACTTCGAAAGTCCTTGGGTGGTGGAATGCGTCAAGCTGGTATCATTGCGTCGGCTGGACTTTACGCACTTGACAACCAATTTGATCGGCTTGTGGACGACCACAACAATGCACAGATACTGGCTCATGGTCTCTCAAGCATCACTGGTATTCAGATTGATCCGGATACAATTGACACGAACATCGTTTTCTTTACACTTACTGCAGACGCTAAACTAAACGCGACGACTCTTGTACAGAAACTGGAATCAGAAAAAGGTGTGCTTGTTGGAGCTTACGCTGATGGTAATCGTGTACGCGCGGTAACAAATTTACACATTTCAAGCAAAGATATCGAGTACACTATATCGTCAATCCGTGCGCTCTTATGCTGAGCTGCCAGCGCGAATGACAGTATGTGATCGGGATAGTCTTTCCTATATAAGTGCTAGGACCAAATTTATAGTAGGCTCTATGACTTTTTGCATATCAAACTTCCTACATGTCACGCGAGCTTGACGTAATAAAACGTAAGCTTTGAGGACAAAAATGTTTCTGCATTTGTTGTTTTCGGAATAATGACATTCCCGCAATTGCTGACAATATCGTTTAAAGTGCCAATTTAAAGAGTATAAATACCATGCAGATTATTAAGATGAAGTGCACTCAGAAAACTCATTTTTTACGAATTATGATCTTACAATTATCAATGCTTTGATGTCAATTTGGATCACTGTCTGCTTAGAGCTCAAGTACAATATAAGAGAACGATGCCCGCACACGAAAGACAGCGACGGAAGAATTTTACACATGATAGTAATGCAATTGAGGTGTTAACAGTGTGACCCACATTTGTGTTCATCACACTTTTGTCACTATCTGCAGAAGGCACATTAGCTAAGAAGTATTGTGAAAGATTGATAGTACTACTAGAAAAACGAATCTTTTTTTCTTATAGATCAAATCGCTTTTTGCTCGGTGTATCAAGCTCAGCACTCATGATAGTAACCTCAAGTTGCAGTCGTTCCCTTATTAGTCTCGACTTTGGCTATAATCTAAATTTATTAAAAAATAGCTTTTTTTGATCTGCACTCCTTTTCTTTTATATCTGTTGAGAAGATGGCAAGAACCGAAGTGAATGTATCTAGGTCCTTAGTTCGCTACTTGGTGCTACCTTTAAGCTTGTCTTTCCAATGCTTTTTAGAGGTTCTGAGAAAAATGTAACCTTATTTATCCAGACCAATGAACGACTACATGATGTCCTTAATCAGCATCCGTAATCAAGATATGTAAACATGACAATTCTTGTGACGTCATCCACAATCACTCAGCGGTGTAAACGAAACACTCCGACTCACCGCTAACGTTGAGTGTGCTTTGTCGCTGACTTGGTCTTGATGCTTGTTGCCTCTCGCAGAAAGTTGAACATCTTGATCCCAAGTGCCTCGGTTAGCATATCTGCAAGCTTACTCTTCGCATCGATGCAGCCAATCTTGAGTAATTTATGCTCAATGTTCTCCCGGATAAAGTGATGACTGACGTCCACGGTATTTGTACGAGTGAGGTAGCCCGCCTTGTTTGCCAAACTGTCGCACCTTGATCTTCTTCCCATATTCGTGTGACTCCCGCTTGATCTTGACCCATCTTACTTCTTGTGTGCATAAGCTAAGTGCAATATATACTGCTTCTGCGGAACTCAGCACCGATACTTAGACTTGAGCACAACGGGAGCTTTTCCAATATTGATCAACACACCTGAGACAGACCGTCTGTCATCGGTGTTGCTCCCCAGTCTGCATCCGAAAAAGCTTCAACAATCACCTTTTCAATCTCTCCTCGGTAAATGATCTCGCGATAACGTGTCGAACTTAAGTAGTGTTGTACACAAATTGCGGCGTTTCAATGTGGTAACCAGGGATTCTCAGAAGATCGAGAATATTGTGTAACGACATATGCGATGTCCGGCCGAGTGAAAGCAGATATCCAATAAGTGAGCGGTATGGCTTTGACCGCGTCTCTGAACGCTCTACACCTGAACTTGGTTACTGTGATGTTGACAGCTTTAGACCGGACGTACATACATTGTCGACGCCCTTGGCGTTTTTTTGTCCAAATCGACAAGCCAAATACTTTAAATCTTAACCATGGTAAATAGACTTCTCCGTTCAAAACTGAAACGGTGTTACATTGTCAAGTTGCGGTAGATCCGCGAATATCTAGAACCTTAGGTTTTTCTAATTAATATAGTAATACCTTATTAATACAGTAATGCCTAATTAGTATGCATTACTACTGGCAATCCTGCCACGTAGTGGGATCTTATCACGGTTATCACACCATTGTGTGAATACTCCAACTTGTGTAATCCACATCTATGTACGGTCACACCATATTGGATGACCCGTCCTTTCATACAAGGGTACGTGTGACCCCATAACACTCTTTCCCATCGAAATTGTGAATATCCTCAATTCACATTTAACAGTCGCCTCATACGAGGCTCGCGTGTCTGAGACACCGTTAAGTTCTTACGAACATCCTTGATCATTCTCCGCTCAATAAGCCCTGTGCTTATGACACGCAAAACACCCATCCTAGCTGGTTTCGAGGGCTCCCGCGGGCACAGCCCATCTTCTTCTGCACGGGGTGCATCTCCGGACTGTACGTCCGCGGCTTCACGAGAAGCACACCCTTAGCCCTCGGCAGCTAGGCGCGACACAACGCGCTTCACCCCGGGCGAAGGAATCCATCGTCGAGGACTTGGAGAAGTTGACTACGAGTCGGATACTCCTTTTCGTAATGGGAAGAGAAGGAGGGTGGTGGGCGCCGACGGCGTTTCGTGAGCCCAGATCGATCCTTGCGGACACCGTGTCCGTTCCCCTACCTCTCGACTTCCGGGGGGAGTGGCGCTGTTGCGTGCGTTGGAAGCATGGGGTACGCTTCTCGATTTTTACAACCGCTCCACTCTGCACAATCGTGTCACGATGACACGTCGCCTACAAGAGTTTAAGATGGAGAATGGCACTCGCATGGTGGAACAGCTAGACGCGTTCGACAAGCAAGTTGTGGAACCCCAGACGACGGGAGAGCCGGTGGATGACTTATGAAAGCTAGTGATACTTCTACGCAGCTCAGCGAAATATGAGAAGATTTCTTCTATCATGGAGAACGCTAAGGACATCACTGTGATCGAAGTCAAGGAGAAGATGTTGAGGTAGTCAGACAGGCTACAGAAGAAGGAAGCAAGTGAGAAAGCGTTCCGCGCCACAAGCAATGATGGACCGGTCAGGGGCAGACGAGGAAGCGGTCGCAATAATTACGCTTTACGCAAGAACGGCTATTTTCGGGGCATGTGCTTTAATTGTGACCAGACTGGTCATATGAGAAGGGACTGTCCAGCTAAGAACCGACCCAGAAACCATTCCAGCGGTAATGATGCAGTAATTGCTGTGGGGAAGGCGCACTCAGCAAGCTGGCTGATTGACGGTGATGAGTTGTCACTCACCGAAGTGACTTGATCGACTTCAAGCGATTCAAAGCCACCGTCAAGGTAACAACTACAGACGGCAGGAAGTGATACGTAAAAGAAGCTGGAATAACAAAGACTTATATCGATGATTGAGATGCTGCTTATCCCTGGACTTACAGACGTTTTCTGTCGATGGGAAAGCTTGCCGAACGTGGACTAAGTGTGGAGTTTCAGCGTGCTTCGTGTACCATTTGGGACAAGGACTTTGCTTTGGTAACTAGAACAAGAAATAGGAAAGCTTACACACTAAATTGTCAGCAAGAAGAGACACGATCGGTGCAATAGTCGGGAGCTGATAGTCAGTGGAAGCTGTGGCACGCTCGTATGGGACACCCAAGCGAGGATGTTTTAGTGAAGACTTTGCGATCCACAGAAGGTATACCTGTGCTAAAACAAGGTATCGAGACCTTGTGTGGTGGATGCGTGGAGGACAAGCAGACGATTGAAGCCTTCCAGGACGCACCAAGACAAAGACGTCACGTGAATTTGGAACTAGTTCTCACGCACCTGATGGGACCCATGAAGACACTTTCGAAAAGAGGTGCTAAGTATATTTTGACTTTTGTGGATGATTATTCACGATATGCGGTGGCTTACCTTTTGATGATGAAGAAGGAAGCTGCCGACAAGATCACGGTGTTCAAAGCATTGTATGAAATTTAAAATGAAACCTGTATCAAGTGCCAGCCGCCGGACAACGGAACACAATTCGACTGCAAGACAGTTATGGAGTTATTTCAGCGAAACGGCATCATACATCAGCATGCAGTACCATATAGTCCACAATAGAACGGAATTGCACAACGAATGAACCGCACGATTATGATAAAGGCACGGAGCATGCTACACTATAAGTGTGTTCCGACATGTTGCCGGACAGAGGCAGTAAGCACTGCGGTGTACCTGATCAACCGCTCTCCCAATACAGTGCACCCAAACAATACCCCGTATGAGCTGGGATTTAAAATGAAGCCTCGAATGGATCAGCTTAGGGTATTTGGGTCTCATGGGTACGCTCACGGTGATCAAGTGAAGAGGACGAAGCTCAAAGCCAAGATCTTTAAGTGTATGTTCATTGGTCATGCCGATGACACCAAGGGATTACGAGCTTACGATTTGGAGAAAGACAAGATATGAGTATCACGGTCGGTGAAGCTGGTTGAGCGTGAAGTGGGTGGCATTTATGAGACGCACCTGCCTAAACAAATGAAATTGACACACCCAATTTAACACAACAACAATAAAAGCGCAGTGTCCGGGCCGACAAAACACCAAAAGATCAAAATGATCCTATGGAGTGGGAAGACGAAGAAAAGATTCCAGATGCTTTCATGAATGGTGAGGAGTCCGACATAAAAAGAGTCAAGGGTCGAGGTACTTCGATTACCGGCCTCAGTACACTCTGAATTGACAGAGTACGGAACTCCTACACTGGATACACAGATAGATCGATTGGTATTTCAACCGCAAGTGAAACGTTCAAAGCGTACACGCAAACCGATGTTGTTGTTGGAGAACGGATCAGATCCCGAAGAAATTTTGGAAGAAAGCGATGGACCACTATCATCAAAGCATGCAAGGACTGTTGACGACGATCTTATAGCTGAAACTGGTTTCGCTTACGCTGTAAGTGTGAGTGTAGAATAGGACTTTCCTTACCACTAATGCGCAGGCAACAACTAGCGACGAAGCTGATCATTGGCGACAAGTGATGGACGCCGAATTACAATTGCATCGCCAGAACAGAACATGGACACTCGTTCCACGATGATCAGTTTGGATGCCGCTGGGTCTGCTTAGAAGTGTGACCAAAATGAATGTGGTGTGCGCTACAAAGCACGATTGGTGGCTAAAGATGTTGAGCAGAAATACGGCGTTGGTTTCTTAAAGACTGACTCTCCAGTGGCCAACATGAACTGAATTCGAGTTGTACTTGCAGTATACGCGGTATTAGGCTACAAAACGGGGCAGCTGGACATCAACACTATCTTACTCAACAGTGTGCTGTCGGATCGTGTTAACATGAAGGTTCCGATTGGAGATAAGGGGGCTCAAGGATTTGCGTGTCAACTGAACAATCCTATATATGGACACAAGCAAGCTGCAAGTGCTTGGAACAAGACGATCGACCACGTCTCCAAGGAGAACGATTTTAAAAGTTGTGGAGCGGATCAATGCGTCTACATGACGAAAGTGAAAGACGGTTTGTGTCCGTATGTCTATATGTCGATGATATGATAATTGCAGCCAATAGAAGTAGCGAAACTGCAGCGGGGCCGCCCTAGCTCTTCGCTGACAGGAAACTAAGCTAAGATCACCAACCTTACGTTGTTTACAAGAACCAGTACGAGCGTAGCGGATCGCAACCCGCTACCTCCAGAGTACTTGAAATCTTTAACAAAGGTAAAGATACTCTTTCGTTGCAAATTGAAACTAAATTTAATTGTTTAAGTCGTGGTAGAGCCGCCAATACCTAGAAGATTAGGTTCTTTTGATTAATAAAATAATACCTAATTAATATAGTAAAACCTAATCAAAATGCTTCACTACTGGCAATCTTGCAAAGTAATGACTTCTTGTCACACAATTGTGGGATTACACCAACTTGTGTGATCCACACCTGTGTAAGGTCACCATCTCGTGTAACACGCCCTTTCATACAAGGGTACATGTAACCCCGTTACAGAAACTCTAGAGGTCAAGGGGATGTCAGGAAATGTTTTAAAGATGAAGGATCTCGGTATGGCAAAGTTCATCTTGAGCGTGGAGATCGACCACGACAGGACAGATCCAACACAAATGATGTAACCCTTGGAAGCAGAAGCGCTATTGGCGCGGGCTGGACCGGGACGGTCAATGTGTTAGATATCGAATATCCAGATTGTCAACACCAAATGTGTATTGCACAGGGGTCTCGAACATTGTCTCGCGGGCTGAACGCGGAGTGGCACGTAATCTACTGAGCACTGCTCACGTTTCCAAGCAGTTGCTGAACGCTGAGAGTGGCATGGTCGGACGAGGTCTGAGACATCTTGGTCAAGGCCCTTCTGATGCGTGTGGAGTGGCACATTATCCACTGGACAAAAAGTGCGGAAATAACAGCTCTTCGTCGGATGTTGTTAATATCATCAAGGCTCCGATGGAGCAGGGAGTGGGGACACTGGACGACGCCAAGTGCATGTTTTCACTGGTCTCGATGGGACGTAAAACCTCTTTAGATAGGAGACGGCGAGGCCGTATGATATTTGCAAGACGCAGGGTGTCGACCCTGACCCAGCGTGTCTACCATAGACTATAGCGCACAGCTTTATACCCTTGTCAACGAAATGACGGAAGAGAAAAACGGCGACGTCCGCCTCGAGGCTATTTCCGCGGTGGATGCTTCGAAGAGTTTGACGGTGTTTTGAAGGCAGGCGATATAGCCGAGGTGGTCATTACACGATCAAACGACGAGATTAACTCGTCGTCGCTTCTGAATGAAGCTGTCCTTGAGGGCAGCAAGAGGGTGTTGAACGCCCGAAGTGAATGTCGATCCTGAAGGACCCCTTGGATCCGAACTACCCTATCGTAAAGGAATTTCAAGACGACTCTACCTCCAGACAAGGTGTGCGTCAGGAGATCGACCTGTTTCCGGGAACCAAATACTGCGTAACACACCAATGGCGCCTACCCAAGGCGCAGTGTGAAGTCATTGGCGCCTTCTTTCCGTGCGAAGCAAATAGGCTGGAATAAGGCGTGAGAGCAAGTCTCCCCATTCGACACTCACGTTTTGTTTCCGGAAGCCGAACGGCAAGTGGTGTATCTTTCACGCTTGCAACAAGCTAAACGCAGCCACCATTCCGGCACAGACGCCGATCTCTAGAAAGGATGTTCTCTAGAACAATATTGTTGGCTGTTCAAAATATAGTACACTCGACTTGGTCGATGGGTACTACCAACTACTCATGAGAGCGAGTGATATTCCGCTGACAACGGAGAGTACTCCGAGTGGGATGCTCTGGGAGTGGCTGATGATGCCCCAGGGGTTGTCTGACGCACCAGCAACATTATTCGTCTTGTGTTGCAATTGTTCACGCCCCATCGGGCGTATGCACAAAAATACTACGTCTACGTCTATAGTCGTCCGGGGCACGGGATGACAGATGAGGAAAACCAAATCGTCCATTTGAGAGCGGTGCTCGAGTGCATGCGCACGAATAAGCTGCATGCTAATGCCGATAAGTGCATCTTCGGTGCGGAGGAAATCCCCTTTTCAGGTTGCTTCATTCGGAAGCGGGGCCTTCGAGCGGATCCCACTAACGTCAAGGCCATGGTGGACTGGCCGGTTCCAAAGTACCAAAAGGACTTGCGAAAATAGTTTGGCCTTGCCAACTTGCACAAGTATAGCGCAAATTACGCAGAAATGACACGGCCATTGTCGAATCTTCTTAAGAAGGATACGGAATGGTGTTCGGACACCGAACATTGAAAGGCTTTTGATAGGGTCAAAGGCAGCATTCTTCATGCACCAATACTAGTGTTGCTAGACCCAGATCATTTTGTAGTGTCGTCTGTGACGCTTCGACATTGCATCAGCTGTGCACTGCTGCAAGCAAACACCGAGGCGCAAGTTCGGGTGATCGCGTTCGAATCTCGCCAGCTTAAGGCTGCGCAGAGGTACTACCAAGTCCACAACAAGGAATTACTTGCGACGAAGTATACACTTGTCAAGTTCAGGGTGCACCTGCTCGGATCAAGCCGTTTTTGATCTACATAGATCATGCGTCATTACGCACTGCGACTCAGTCACCCCACCTCTCGCAGAGGATGGCCAGGTGGCTCTCTTTCTACGCAGAATATAAACTCGGGGTAAAGTATAAGCCAGGGAAGCAGAATGCTTTGGAGGATACGTTGTCACGCAGACCGGCTTATGAGCTTATTCATGCCACGAATGTGACGTCATCAGTGACGTATTTGATCCGCGGCATGGTATGTGTGTAGCGCTGCTACAAGCTCTCGAGAGCAAGGCGTTTAAAACTCGGACAAGAAACACGGTTACACCGATATTCGTTGGATAACGGGTTGCTGTATTTTCGCACCGATTCGACGAATACGCCGCGAGTTGTGGTCCCTCACGATGAGAATATTGAAATACCATATCCTTTATGAGGCCAATGACACCCCACTCTGTGATCATCTCGGTCGTGAAAAGACGTTTAGCTCGGTGAGTTGCTACTATTGGTGACCAAGCAGTACAAATGGACGAGCACATGTGTGCGCACGTGTCAGACATGTCAGAGAGTGAACCTCCTCCGAATGCGGCGGCACCGCTGGCCACTCTACCGGTACCCTCCGGGTGTTGGCAGTTCATCAATATGGACTTGGTGTTTGGCTTGCCGAAGGACACGGCGGGCAGCACGGGCGTGGTGGTCATTGTAAACCGTTTGAGCAAAATGGCTCATCTTGCGGCAGTGCCGGACACCATCGACGGTGTGAGTACAGCGACGCTGTTTCTGGATCGTCTTTTTGACGACATGAACTCCCAGGGTCGATTGTCTCTGTCTGAGCTGGAAAGTTTTGGTTTACAATCTTCTGGGTGCTGGGCACCAAGTTGATTATGTCAACAGCAAACCATCCGCAGACCGATGGTCAGACTGAGCGCGTGAATCGCGTCGTTGAAGATCTTCTTCGCAACGTCTGCACTGAGAGGCCAAAGCGCTGGAGCGCCATGCTGTCACTTGTGGAGTGTTCTCTGCGCATGCAGTGCATTCAACTACCGGCTACACGCCGTTCTACGTGAATGGGCTTGTCAATCCTCGCGTTCCGCCGACGCCTCCATCCCATAGCTCAGGGACTAGTGGGGGAGAAATAGCCGAGCGGCTTGCTGATTTCCGCCCCCTCGCTGTGCGTAAAGAAGTCGATGACTTCCTTTCTACCAGACAGAGTACATTAGCGATGTGATGGCTGAAAGCCAGGATATGCAGAGAGACAATTCAGACGGAAGAGGAAAAATACAAAACATTTTAGGTTGGAGACCTGGTTTTATTCAATGCTAAAAACCTTCCTACACATGCAGTCTCTGCTGTCTTTTGAACAAAGCTCCGTCCACGGCTTATTGGACAATCTAAGGTCGTGGCCAAGCGAGGCCTTGCGTATACGCTAACCTTTCCAAGGAGGATGCGCACCCACATGTCGTTTTATGTGGGCTTTCATAAGCCCTACCGGATTCCGGTGCAAGTGAACGCGGAAGCGTTGGCACCGGGGCGGCGCTCAAAGGAGCTCGGCCACTCAGAAGTAAACCAGCAACTGAATCAGAGCACGGAGTGCAGCAGTTTTTTTCCGTATTTAGCGGCGCAAGGCGCTCCACCGTCACACGAAGTGACGTTTTTGTCTGCTCGAGGAGCCGCTCCAATAGAGCGCGCTAATACCAAATGTGATGCAGTCGGTGCACAAAGTGTTCCAGGCTCTCGAGGTCTTTTGCACAACGGTCGGCGATCTCGGAGAGATGCTCGACAGAGTACCGATGACGACGGACTTTGTTCTCCAACGATTGAAGAGCATCGCGAGTTACCGGCCGGCGATCGAACAAATCGTCATCGCCCGCCGCCGACTTTTCTCGATGAGAATGGTGGGGCCCACCACCTCGTAGAACGTCTTGTGGGTCGATGTCGTCGAAAGGGGCTGACCCAATATCTAGTGAAGTGGCGGGGAAACCCAAACTCCGTGAACTCGTGGTAGTTTGAGGTGCCACTTCGGCAAGGCTGTCCAGCGCTTATGGTCAGAAGGATCAATACGCTCTGAGTCATCGTGCCTCCATCGCTTCTCAGTAGAAGCCCGGGAAGTCGAAGGGCCATGAACTGAGCTCAAACTATGGTCCTGAGCTGCTGGGGTCGTATGCGCACACGTGTGAGAGACCACAGAGTTCTCAGGCGCGCGGGGGATGATTCCGTGTATTGCAGGGCGACAATACGCAGGAAGTCGGCGTGGCGCCTTGAGTTTGGCAAGCTCAAATCGAAGATGGCGCTCTACGTGCACGTCCACCACCTTGTAGCTTTGCTGTAAGGTAGACAACAAGGAAATTTTCGGTGCCGCTGCACCCATCGCTTAAAGAGCTCTTCATCATCTGCAGCGGTTTGGTCAGGGGTGAGCACCACAGAAATAGTCCGCATGCGGGTACAAGATCGCCTTCTTTTTAAGCTCAAAGTCGAGCGCGGTATCGATCCATTAGGATTTTTTGTGGTACAAAAAGCGAGCTCGAAAAGCTTCCGCTGATCAATTTCAGCTTGTGTAGTGGCCGGGGGTTCGACTACGTAGACGCCGAACGATCGAGTGATCGCGTCTTTTGCTTCAGTAGCGGGATCCGCCAGGCTGGAGCCGTACTCCAGACGAGGGTCTAGGACTAAGCGTGGCAACGAGCGCATGAGAGCGCCCTATGGGCTGCCTCCAATTGCTGCTCTTGTGCCTCGTCGAGGGGGTTAGTTTCGCTTCTCTTCTCTAGTAGCAGACCGAATCTTGATCTGGTGTTGATTTCCGACGCTTTAAGCAATTACACCCAATGCTTTGGCGTCATGCACGAGCCACCTCTCCAATATTTTGCTCTCATTATTCGCACCCATAACGTGCCCCAGAAGCCCTTTTCTTGCGAGGGTCATCCTCATGTTGAACTCCCAACGATAGTAGTTACCATCCTAGGAGGGCTTTGGTGCACTTGGAAGGCACGGAGGTGAAGATGTGGTGAAGCCGGGCTTTGTTTGCGGCTGTTACCTGTTGAGAAGATAGCAAAAACCGAAGTGAATATATATAGGTCCTTAGTTGGCTACTCTGTGCTACCTCTAACCCTGTCTCTCTAGATCGTTTGAGCAGCTTCTTAATGTAACTTTTTTTATCTAGACCAAAGAACGAGCCCTATTCAGCACCCGCAATCAAGATGGTAATTCCAAACATGACCGTAATCCTTGTGACGTCATCCACGTGCACACAGCGGCGAAAACTTAACAACATCCACCACGCCGTATGCTTGGTTCGAAAAAGTATCCTCTGTGTATCATCATGACTAAAAACATTTCTCTTTCTCTCATCTGCTTTGACGTTCAGCACTACACACTGACTTTAATGCTTGTAGTTTGCTCTCCATGCCACATCTGATCGGATACACTCAACAAATCACTTATAAGGCAAGACTGTAGTCTTGATATAGATGCATTGGTATTTTAGCTCTTAACTAATTAACGAAACGAAATGAAAAATGACTGCTTTGCTTAAAAAAAAGTTACATGTACGTTGTGCATGCTGAGACGGTGGTCTTGAAAGCAAGTTTATTCAGCAAGTGTTCTCAAGTCACTTCTTGACATTTCGATCATCGAAAGATGACCTTTATTATATAACCTCTTACAGAAACGCATGTAGCAAATGTCTAAACCACATATCTAGAAACACATGTGCCGATGTAAGATATTTATAGTGTCAAATTTCCAATGAATTCGAAGAGGTAATTTCAGTAAACTCACCTGTGATGAGTGCATCTGCTTCTGAAGCATCGCACTTCAAACTTACTTTTCCTCCATCCACTTCAATTTCAATCGCTGTCACACCTGATCGTGCACAATTGTGCGGTTCTGTCCACTCGACATGATAGACATTTGGTGGTCATACAAAAGCGTTTTCATGTTGAAATGGCGGAGATATCAGAGTCCCGAACGACAGAAAAATGGTTGCTATCCACAGGACACGTCAAATTTATGTAGATCAGTCGTTTTCGACGCAAGCTTACACCAGAGTCATCACGTCAATACATAAGGTCCTAGAGTATTCGAACATCAAGTTGTTCGCAATATCCTTGCACACAAACAATCGTGGCAGATGTTTTGCCTTATACAGCACAACCATAAATTGTTAGATATGTATAATCTTACCATTTTGTATCATGAAGTAAGCTCTGTGTTACTTCAAGACTTCACCCTCTCCTACTTGTCAAGTACAGCACTACAAACTGACTTTTCAGTATTCGTATCGCCACCACACCTGATCGCATACAATTGTGCACATATCGTGATGTCTCAAGGATTAATGCCTCAGATCGTCATACACGTCCAATCTCTTTTCTATCGCGGATGCTAACGACAGGATGAGCAGTTGATATAATCAGGATATGTACAATATTCACGGTCCATGCCTCGAAAGCACGCTTATTCAACAAAGATTTGTTGATGTCCATGATTACTCAATCACCAAGGGAGATCTTTATATTCTATCTGTATAGATGATCAGCATATGCATTACACAAAAACACATGTGTAGATTTAGAGTGGTACTTGTGATCCCGTGGTAAATTCACACATCATTCTACAACTTTTGTTGTTGGCATCATTTCATACATCGAGAATGCCATTCTGATCGTAGCATCACATTTTGCTTGTGAAAACGGATTTTCATTTCCCGTGAACGAACTCAAACGAAGCGTCAAGCATAGTGGAGACCAGTGGAATATTGTTGCGCTCCAGTGCACGCGTTGGCAGAAGCGATAAACAACAAGAGGTCCGAGTTAATCGCGTCAAGATTCCGAAAATGAAACCGTATTTAGAGATGGTGAGATATCGAACCGCTTTCAAAAATTCGCTGAATAAGTGGCTGCATCAAGAATTATATCTCGGAGCTTGATTCATCAAGTCTTTTCCTTTGCGGGGGCTTATAAGGTAAGCAAGCTTTATCTGGATTTTCACCACGCTTAAATATACCTTGAAATATCGAATCACCTTCATATTCATTTGATCGCCATGTTGTTTACTACCTTGAGTTTTACCAGACTTCTTTCGTTATATTGCATTAGTACTTGGCTTTAAAAACCACAGCGAGCATCCAGTGCACATTCGAGTCATTGAGATAATCTCATTGCAATCAGTACAAGTAATTTTGAGACTTTGTTCAATATTTGCAAAATCTTAACTTGTATCGGTTCTCAATGGAAGACCCAGCACTACGTCTGATTGTTTACACACCTGAATCTTCTTTCACACTATTCACCTTATCACAACGAGCCTCGCTTCTTACACATCTGAGCATTTTTCACCATCTCAGCCCGAGGAAATACCAAATGTTTATTCCAAACGTGACCAACTCAAAGCTCATAAAGTAACTAACATGCTTTCATCACTCCAGGATCTAGACATTAGCCTTGCTCGACACATATTATTACAAGCCAATCCAATGAACTGGGCTTGTCAATATGGTGATGTCTCTATTTCGACTTTGTTAGCTCCATGTTGCTAAGTACAAGACCGCAAGCCGCGTGGTAAATGCTTATCATAAGCGTGAAAGCTGTCGGCTTTTCCACGATAGATATTTATGGGATGGGAGTGACGATGCACTGTGGGATTTACATACTTTGGACAAATCAGTGCATGGAAGATAGGAAGAGAAAGATTCCGAGCTTCCTCTTCTGGTAATCATAGATTTATGAATACAAAGAGGGGGATAGGAAGGAAAAAATCGAACGGCGTAATCAATAGACAGTGAATTGCGATGAATAGTGAAGAATGAAGATGAAGATAAATTCGATCATGAGGGCAACGGTAATTAGATTATACAGCGTGCATCTGAAGTAAGGCTTGTTTCTTATAAACTTTGATTACGATATTTCTCATTATTTTGTACTAATCGCAAGTGTGGTCCAACTTTCTAGGAACCTGACGATCAGATTTGCGCGACTAAAGCAGGACTTACAATGCAAGTATCATAATCTACCGTTTGGTAAAAAAAAATTGTGGACGACTTCAGGCTGTGGATTCACAGACTGCCAAAATCTACTTATATATTGAAAGAGAGTGTGAAGTTATCGCTACTATTTGTGTCAACTATATAAACAGCACATACTTCTATTCTCCTGTCATTCCTTAAAATTTTTAAAGATCAAATACTCGACCGTATTCTTTCAGGGTTGGTATGCCGTCAATAATGATAAGCTACCTGCTTTCTAGGTGACCTGTTTCTCACAATTTCTTAGTCTTACACTTAGCATAATGATTAATTTGATATGATACAAAGAGCTTTGTCATTATATCAAGATACGACTCTGAGATATGAAGATATACTAACATATAGTGGCCAAGTAGGCCAAGATGCATAAAGATCAAGCAAGATGGAATTTAAACTCGCACTTTATCATTTGTGCATTAAATCACAGCTGATATTTCTGCAAAGTTATTGATAGCCAACGTTTTGTGTGTCTTTAAATCATCTGGACTCTTAACACATTGTCCGACCTCAAAGCTTACGTTTTATTACGTCAAGCTCGCATGGCATGTAGCTGCATCGTAGGAAGTTTCAAATGCAAAAAATCAAAGAGCCCACTGCAATGTTGGTCCTTGAACTTATAAAGGAAAGACTATCCCGATCACATACTGTCGTTCGCGCTCGCAGCTTGACGATATAGTGTACTCGATATCTTTGCTCGAAATGTGCAAATTTGTTACAGCGCGTATACGATACCATCAGCGTAAGCTCCAACAAGCACACCTTTTTCTGATTTCAGTTTCTGTACAAGAGTCGTCGCGTTTAGTTTAGCGTCTGCGATAAGTGTGAAGAAAACGATGTTCGTGTCAATTGTATTCGGATCAATGTGAATTTCAGTGATGGATGAAAGACCATGAGCCAGTGTCTGTGCATTGTTGTGGTCGTCCACAAGTCGATCAAATTAGTTGTCAAGTGCGTACAGTCCAGCCGACGCAATGATACCAGCTTGACGCATACGACCACACAAGGACTTTCGAAGTCGCGTTGCATGATAAATAAATTCTTCAGATCCAGCAAGAATCGAGCCAACTGGCGCACCCAAACCTTTGCTTAGACAGAGCTTAACTGAGTATCACCACGTACCAGTTTGTCCATGGGAATTCCGGACGCTACGCTAGCATTTGCCGATCGAACTCCGTCAACGTGGAGGCGAAGATTGCGCTTATGACACAATTGCTCCAGTGTACGAACGAATTGTTGCGGTAGAACACGTCCTCCACAAGTATTTTGTGTATTTTCGATTGGCACGAGCCTCGTGCGTGGATAATGTGGATCGTCGGCTCGAATAGTATTTTAAACCTCTTTAAAATCAAGTGTTCCATCTCGTTGATTCTCGACTGTATGCAAACTTACTCCCATCTACGCTTTCAAAGTAGGAAAAGTATTTAGTTCATTAATTACTTTTCTTCATGGATTGGTTGTCAAAGTCAAGCACATGATTGCTTTCGATATGATGGAATCGCATACTAGCTCACTTGTGGGCTCTTGGTAAGTGACTAACAAATGTTCGTGCACATTTGTTGTTTTCGGGATAATGATATCTCAGCAAATGATTTGTTTGCTATCAACAAGCAAAAATAAAACCAAGCAGATTATTAAGATGAAGTTTCTAGATTCACTCAGAAAACTCAGGTGTTGGGATTCAAACCTAACAACCTCCTTTACAATAACGATCTTACAATGATCAATGCTTTAATGTGAATTTCGAACCGCATTCTGCTTATAGCTTAGGCACAAAATTAGAGAACGACGCCTGTAGCTCGTTAAAAGCATGAAAAGCTACAATTTATGCTCTCGAAAGATAGCGACGAGATAAAAGCGTAAGAATTTGATATATGATAGTGACGCATTCGAGTTTTTATTGCCGTGTTTTGATACGTCAGTAAACGATAGTAAGGAAGATTGTTCGATGTCAGGAAAATGAGGATTACGAGAAAATCTAAGATCAGACAGCATACATTTGTGTTCGTCAATTCGCTAAGTATCGCGAAAGATGGATAGTACTATTCGAGAGAAACAAATCTATTTCTTAATAAATTAAATCACTTTCTGCTCGGCAAATCGAGCTCATCACTCACGATAGACACATGAGGACTAGGATAGCTGCAGTCCAACCCTTCTTAGTCTCGAATTTGGCTATAAATTAAAAATTAGCTTTATGTTCTGGACTCTTTTTGTTTTTATATCAACCACGCTGTATGTTCAATTCAAGTGGGGTATATTCAATGTATCAAACTTTCTCTCTCTCGTTCATCTGCTTTTGACGTACAGCACTACACACTGTCTTTAATTCTATTCACTTAGCTCTTCATGCCTGTCACATTACACTCAACATATTAGCTATAAGAAAAAACTGTAGTCTTGATATTGATGCACTCTTATTTTCGTTTTCGGACGAATCGAAATAACAAGTATTTAGAAGCGTAACATTAAGGTTGTGCATGCTTTGACGGTGTTCTTAAAAGCACATTTATTCAGCAAGTATTTTCACGTCACTTCTTGAATATTACGTCCGTAATTAATAGTGTGCCTGAACCGTCGTATGAAACTGCGGTCACATAACCGCCATAGCGGGCTATTCAGCGGTGCAATCTCCACACTCCCACTCGCCGCTAATACCACTTCATTCGTGAAAACGTGCAGGAAAAACAATCGAAGATTGACTATATTGACACGAAGTATCAGCTCGCAGATTTTGCTGACGAAAGCACCCAGAACGAAGATGCTGCAGTATTTGCGTGAAGCTTCAGGAATCAAGACCAAGTCAGCAACCAAGCATAATTAACGCTTGATATCCACATGATTCGTCCTCGCATGGTATCCAGCGTAATTGGCCAATGCGATTGCTCCTTGATTATCTTCCCACGCCTTCGTGCCTTCAACTTGCTCATGACCCATGTTGTTAAGCATTGCTCGCGTCCCAACTCAAGGTTATAAGAATGGCAGATGTAGAAGTGATGTGCGCTTGTGTGTGC